AGGGGGGGAGGCAAACCATACTAGTACTCTGAAGTATTCTAGAAATCTATGCACTTTTAGGAATTTGAAATTCAATTTGTGCAGTCCAGAAATAAAAGTTGTTTCCAAAAGACTGTGACAATGAATAACGATTATAAAAAAATCCCCTGATAATATTACCATGTGACTTTTGTTCAAATAACCAATCTTCTGACAAATGTAAGATTCTACTCATTAAAAAAGTCCGGTTGAATTGGAAGAACAGGAGGTTGCCTCCCAGTATCTCAAGAAAAATGTCAGTGCAGTGAATTAACTAATTCCTGGCCAGCTCCACTGCCTCTGCTCAGACCAGGCACATTTACAGCTTCTGACTCTGGAGGTGGCTGCTGAAGAAACCTATTAGCAGAGCAGAAGCATTGGAGCAGAATAGATAAAAAGAAAATAACAGAGTTGGAACTTAAAAAAAAAAATAATCTAAATTTGAAATGTAAATCCATTTCTCTTAATATAAATCATTTACAATTAAAGATGTTAACTTAATGTCTATCTTCCTATAACCTATCTGAACTGCTTAAAATTAGAAATATGTATGGGAACGATCAGCTAGCAGAAGATTTTTAAATGCCAGATTATGCAGGGAAAGAAGCTACTAGAAAAATGTTTTAATAAGTATTCTCTTCATATATCCAGCATATTCTAGATTAATTTATCTAGAAAACCAGTTGACTGTATACAGCAACATTTCCATACTTAAGTCTGATGCAAAGGACTCTGAAATTAATTTAAAAACTAAGAAGCATCATTAGGTTTTCTAACATCTTAGAGCACTGATAATCTGAATAAATTTATACTTTTGTAATATGCCTCCAAGGTACCCATGCCAGGGGCTTTCAGAAGCTTTCTGTGATCAAAGGTTGTGGCTCCCCATGCTGGTTCTAGCTGGTGCCAACAGACCCTGGCACAGGGTGGTCGAGGGGTCAGGAATGAAGGCATGAAGTTGGAAAAAGGGGTGGAGGAAGGTGGTGGTTTAAGTTTTGCTCCTCCACGCTTATTTGAATTGTCAATAAATAAATTAGTTTTCCCCAAGTCAAGTGTTGTTTGCTGCGATGGTGATTGGTAAGTGGTTTCCCTGTTGTTGTCTCAACCCACAAGCTTATTCATCTTATTTTCTGCACCCGTGCTGTTGAGGAAGGAGGTGAGGGTGGCTGGGTGGGCAGCCAGGAGCTGGCCACAGTCAACCCATTACCGCATGCTTTACCAGGAGCAGGAATAAAAGATCTATTCCAAAATTCTGAGTCTCTGAAATCCAACAGTCTCCTTAAATCCTTCCTGTTTGCTGTAGGGTGGAATGCTTAACACATTACCCTCCCTGTCAAGGCAAGACCACTGCACTAATCCAACAATGATCAAAAGCGATCAGTCTCTGGAGGCTCCATTAAGGTTTCTCAGCCTTTAGTCCAGCAATCCCCAACACCACCTGCAGCCATAGGGTAACAAAGATGACTGCAAAAGCAAAGCATTTGTTATTTGTACAACACTGGTATATCTAGGTTGGTTGACCACTGCTCTAGACTTTTCTGCTACCATTTTACCCACATACAAGCAGGAAAAGACCATCAGTGAGGAACAACTCAGATGACTGGAGTTTTCAATGTTCAGATTCTCACCTAAACTACATTCAACTTGCTGAAGCAAAGGTTGCTAGTCAAGGAAATATTTGTAGTTAAAAAAAAAAAAAAAAAAAAGCAGAGAAACCCTTCATTTTTTTCACTGGATAATGCACAAGATAGAGCAGTCTCAAATATGCATCAAGAATTATTAGCCAAAAGCACTTTACTGGACACTGAGTTGAATCTTAATGGACACTAATCACTGCTAGAACATATAGTCCTCTCCATCTCCAAGGCTTCCTTTGGGAATTGGGGATTTGCTTGCGACACAGAGGTGCCTGTTAGAAGAGTTTCTGATGAACTCCAGCAGAGTTCAACAGCCTTCTTTTCCTCTGTGGCTTTATTACTTTTCTTTTAAGTAAATTATCTCTCTGCTGTGCTGCTGAAACACTTTTGTCTGTTTTGCAGATAAAAATCAGTTATAATTCTTTCCTCCCCTTGTGCTATGAAAGAGTGATCACTTACAAAAGGGGTAGCAGGTTAGCAAAATATTCAGTATGTGCTTGAATAAGTCTAATTTAATACCTAAGTCACCTCATATATTATGAGCCTTTCTATTTATGCATCGATAAAAAGTAGCTCACCCACAGGAGGTGTGTCACTGCCCCAGTGAAGCGTAAATATCACAAGGTAGCAAAGGAAATACTGAAAACTTCTTTTATTTTTTAAAAAAATTCTACTTGTCTACTTGCCAGAGGTACTGTGGAGATTAATTACCTCACGTTCATAAACTATTTTGAAGATGTAAGAATATTATTGCCTCATGAAAAACAAATCTCGTGAGGTCTTGCATGAAAAAAACTGATATGTAACTGACAATGTATTTCTTGCCCCATTATAGCTTTCTTAGCAAGTTCCACTATCCCCAACCAGAACTGACTAAAGGGAAGAATATCCCCAAAAACTTTGGATTCTAGGATGCTGGATTCAGCAATGACAAAAAAGTTCTTCAGCACTTTATATGCAGATATCCAAGAGCCTTTCATGGAGTATCTTCAGAGACATTTCGGCATGGACAGCTCAGACGCACAGATGGACACAGTGTGCCAAAGGCCACAACAACAATCCATAATGCCAAAACAAAAATACAAGGATTCACGGGTTTTCAGCACTCTAGAGATAAGATACAGGGCAGCTCACCAATTATTATAGTACAATACCAGGAAACCCTGCTTGTCTATATTTGCTTGTTATGAGAACATCCAACAAAATACGGCATGGAGAAAGCACACTGGAGGAAGGGAGAGGTATGACAGAAGAAGAAACTGGCTCAAACCTCCTAGAAACAACACAAAACCAAGGGGGAAAAAAAAAAAACAGCAGAAGTGACAATCCCAAGCTTCATTAAAATAAAAAAAAAAAGGTATGGTTTTACTACTTAGCATGGTGCACCTATTTAAAACAAATCTATTTATTT